CCTCGTCGTGCAACCTGGGTACTAGTTTACTAGTAGCGAACAAGTACTATCATATTTTGCAATCAGGTAGTTTTTCGTTTTCGGTTTGAATGTTGTGAGCTTTTATATCCTTGTAGTTGTAATTTGTTTATTTGTTCAAATAATAATAAAAGTCAAGATACGATAACGAAAGTTTTAAAGTCTAAAATTAATTATTTTTTTTTTATTCGCCGTTAAATTTCTATTATCCTTATTAAAAATCCAGACGAAACAAATCGTTATGTTTAAAAGCAAATGTACTAGTATCAACTATATATGTACAACCGGGTCCATAGTCTTCTGGTAGTTGAATAAGTGACTCGTATTTACGAGCGTGATATCCTTCTAATATTGAGTTGATTGATGTTTATTTATAAATGTTGTTACCTTTGCGGTTCCCTTTTGCAGCTCTGATGAAACAACCACTGGGTCCATATTTATCAAAATATGTTGATTTTTAGTATTCCCAGCAACGTTGTTTTCTTTCCAAATACGCGTTATCTAACCAAAATAACTTATATTTATCTTCTTTCTCATTAAACACATCCACTTCATCATCCCATCCACTGTCATCATCATCTCCACAACTCGCTTCTTTTTGATAGACGAGTCAATATTGTTAAATGATCATAGCGAAAGAAACGCCTCAATTTTCATGTGAAAATGTAAGAAATTTTGCGTATAAGAATACTGATCCTTAGTCCGAAATTTTCTTTTTTACGAATCTACTTGGTTGCTTATCATTCAAGGCTAATCGCTGAGCCACAAAACTGGTGTCAGGGCATAGGTGACCTACTTGGTCGCCTGATGTTTAAAGGCTACTTGCTGATCTGTCGCTGGACCCACTGGGCACAGGTGGCCTACTTGGTTGTCTGATGTTCCGGTGGGATAGGAAATAGGATTATTGTAGGCTTATTAGATCGAGAATAGTACTGATCTCCTAAATTTCGTTTTTGCTAGGAACCTAAAACCGATCGTCAAACAACAAGAAAGTGGGAGAAAGAACGATCACGAAGGCAAGTTCATATTAACCAGCCAATAATTGCGGACATCCATGAGAATGGGAATATAACCGGGAATATAGGGGATGTCAATGGTAGAACTTCTAATATAATTATGAATAAAAGAGATCAAGAAGAGGTATAGAAGCGCTTTTTTTTATAAGGAATTCGAGGATTCGTGGAACTGGTTATTCGTCATTTTAATCCTTTAGGACGATGAGAAACAAACAAAGCGAGTTCGTTTTAATGAAGAAAGGTTAAAAAAGAAATTATCAAAAAGGGTCGGTATAACTTAAATATTTTTCTGCAAAATTCACTTTTACAGGAAGTAATCAGTTAATTTCTTTAGGGAGATACTTTACCAGATGGAACAAAAATTAAGAAATCGGCTCCTCTTAACCTGCTTCCATCAGTTAATGATGATTCCTCCGAAGATCATGATAGTGAGGATAACGAACAAGATGAAGATGAAGTTCCAGCACATGAGGAAACTCTCGATTCTATACTTAGTAGTCAAAAAAAATGGATTCTGCCCTCTGCGGAAAATGTTGGTGACATTATTGCCAGAAACGTATCTGCGAATGCAAAGGCAATTCAAAAAAAGAAGAAAACATCAGCAATAGAAAAAGCCATATTACGTTACGGATCATCACGAATAATTGATTTATCAACAAGTACGAAGGATTGGTTCTCTGTTGATGACAGGAAATTCATGATTAAAAATCACAATGCTATATTACAAGTTCCTCGCATGGCAGATGAAGAAATCTCATTTGTAACTACAGTTGAGAATGTATGTGCATTTTTTCGAGTTAATTTGTTCTGTATGTACATGCATATTGACTCATTATTCTTGTATAGTTGGTATTTGAGGAAAAAGCGAATGAGGCGTACAAGTTTTGTATCAAGACGCACTTTAATTCCAAGGAGAACAGCTACTTGTACAAACTTAGTAAAATATATTGTGACTGGTAATTAGTTATACTACATATTTTTTTCTACCATTTATTCTTACTTTTCATGACTTAATTGATTTAATTCTGTGTTCAGTATTTAAAGATGCAAAAATCAGAATGATATGTTGGATTTTGGGCACACAGAAATCGACGTAATTATGAAGGTCTGTTTGTATATCATCGAAGGAATGAACAAAGATCTCGTAATACGTCAAAGATGGTTTGTGTGAATGAATTAATGATGAGATATGTTCTTTATAATTATGCTTTCACGATTTATTAACTCCATACTTTATGCATCAAAGGGGCGAGTCTTTTTGTCAGAAGTATAGAATACATCAAGGGTCGAAAATGTGATGTACGATTTTTATCAACATCAGGAGTAGATTTAGGAGAGTGGGAGTTCGCGTCAATATTAACAGCACAAAAGGCGATTCGTGACCGTTACCGATCTGCTCGCATAAACCAGTCGATTTTAAATAGCTTGTTAAATCGTAACCTGAATGATGAACAGGCGAAAAAAATCAATGTTCCTTTTTTGCAGGTTGGCGGTACGAGTGGTCAAATGTTGGTTGAAAATCTAGTTGAGGGTTTTATGTTGTCTTTCCCGGATCGACATTTGAATTTCCCACAAAACTGCAACATATCGATCGAAAATCTAAAGTTGGCTGTTAATATTATTAAGTTTGTTATGGTGAGCTCATGATTTTCTTTGCTTATTAAAGGTTTACATACCTAATTTATGACATTTGCATAGGAAAAGTACAACCAAACGAAAAAGATAGTGGAAAGTAAAGTACACATAATGCGCTTGATGATATTTTCAGCAACAATAGCGATCCTTGAGCAAACATGTCCATTGTAAATCCGAATATATTTTTAAACCATGGTAGACGCCGAAAAGTAATAAGTCATAACATATAATAGAAATTTTTTGCTATATGAGATAATTTAACTTAGATTCGGAAACATGATATATAATTATTTAGTTGAAATTATATATTTCGTTTAGCAATTTATAATAAAAATATACTGTATTGGGCTTGAATCATGATATTCTATAGCATAATCTTGGTATACAACGATAAAAAATTTATAATCATTAAATAATAACTGTTATTTTGACAAGCGCTCTTAATGTTAATATGATTATTGACAAAAACAACCTAAGCCCATTAGTAATCGACCTGGATATGATATGAATTTTTACAGTTCATACTGGGATTAATCGTGAAAATAATGAAAAAGAGTATGATAAATTATTGATTAGAATTGCCCTTCAAGATTTATTATTACAGAAAAAATATAGCATATATCATCGTTTCTGCTTATATGATTTTATGAATATTACCGTCCTAAGATCCATTAAAATCAGTTTCCGTTGCTGGAAACCATTTCAAGTTAATGAAGTAAAAGCTATACATCATAAAGTTTTTTTTTTTCGATGTAGTACTGTGTTATATTTATAATAAAGTAAACTAATCTAAATTATAATTATCCCTTGTAATTCCCGTTTGAATTAGTCAATCACCGGAAACTCAGACCAAAAGATCCATGTCAAATTATAAGAGCTTCATTAAGAGATCAAATGAACTGTCAGTATCTATTTAACCATTCTGTCTATGTATAAGTAACCAAATTTATAAATCCAAATAATCCATCAGTTAGAATATATAATTATGAGTTTAGGTATTTTATTAGAGCCTTTAAGAAGGCTTATGTTCTTTTTAATTTCTTAATATTTCTAAAGTTTTTCACATTTTGACTGTGATTTCACATAGAAACAAACTCAGATATAAAATGAATCAATTATGAAATTATTGAGAACAATCAATAAATCTACAGTGATTGGAAAAAAATATTAGTTTAACTAATCTACATAAACTTTTTATTATAAAGCCCTTAATAAAAAGAATGATATCATTCAAATTATTTTGTTAAATTAAATGAAGCAGAATTGCAAAGAGTAAAAATAAGTTATTCTAGTCTGATTTTTTCTAAATTTATATAAAGTTTGTTATTTTAAAAATTCTATAATGTTTTATATAATCATCTGACAATTTTTATTTTATTTAGACAAATTCAAAAATGATAATAATTTTTTTTAAATGAGTTGCAGTAGGTATATTTTCCATTTATAAGTATCTGATCTCCTTTTTAAGTAGAAAAATCTTCTGCTAATAATTTAATATTAAATATTTTCTTTTATTATTGTAAATATGATATTAAAAAAAGAATATCCATAATATCAAATATCTTTAAAGTATATTATTATGAAATATTATTATTAATCAAAAATAAAATTTTTATAAATTCAATAAGGATAAAATTGTATAGCAGCATTTAGGTTTCTTTAGGATTTTTTAAGAATATTTTAAGTTAATTTGTTGATTTTTGTCATCTACAAAAAGTAAGCTTTTTTAATCAAAATTTTTTTAATAAAAAAAAGAAAACTAATTATCTCATTTTATAGGATCCAACATTTCTCTTGACTAAATCCTTAATGATAGTAAAAGTTTTTTTACTTAATTAAATATAAATTCTTATAGAAGGTATACTGTGAGCATTAGTATTTTAAAAATAATCCTCTGCTTACTTTTTTATTAGAATTCGAAGGACTTTTAAGGCTTAGAGTGGAAGGTAAATTTCTATAGAAGGAAAATAGAAGTATTAGTCAAAATCTTTTTTTATATATAATAAAAAAATTTTACTCCTCAAACCCCTCTTCTTAGGTTTTTTTTTTTTTATTATTTTTTTTTATTATTTTTATTTTTATTTTATTTTATTATATTATATAATACTCTTTTAATTATTTAAAACTATATAAAATTATAAAGCATAAATCTTTTATAAATAATAAATAACAAATAATAATTTATATAAATCATATAAGTCATATAATGTTATATGCTAACACTGGTGTATACTGTATATTTAAATAAAATATTATATAATTATGTATTCTTTATTTATATTAAAAGTTGCAACTATTATAATAGTTATAATTAAAATAAAAGTTGCAACTATTATAAAAGTTACAATTATAATAAAAGATGCAACTATCATAAAAGTTGTAACTTTAGATTAATTACAATTTTAGTTAAATTTTTAAAAAGTTGTAATTAGTAATTATAACTTATAAGTTGCAACTTTAATATTACAATACCAACTTTAGTTATTAATATTAATAATTATTTTTGATCTTATTAATAAATATTTGATTGCTAAAATGATTAAATTAATAGCAGAGACGTATTTTAAATGCTTTGATTTATCAATTATTATAATATATTTGAAAAGTTTTCTCTTTTTATTGATCTTTATTTTTATTATAAGTAAGAGTTTCAATAAATTTTACAATGATTAATTTCAGTTAGCAAACTATTTGAAAAGAAAGTATTCTAAAAGACTTTCTAAACTGAATCACTTATAGTTTTTTATTAAACTTATTATATAGTAAATTATTTAGTAAAAGATTTTTAACAATATAGTTGTAATACCTTTTATATAAAGAGTAATTCTTTAGAGAATTAAAAAATATAAATAGTTCAAAAAAATATTTAGACATTTCTGTTATTCTTTTTGCTACAATACTGCTTAATACACATCACTATCTTTAGTTTTTTAATCTACTAACTGATTTTCATCAAAAGAATTAAATAAACAAGATAAGTTTTTAGCTTTTAATTTTAAGCTTATTGTAGAATGAGATGTAAAATTTTAATAAAAAACATTTTATTATTAATTTCAAATTTTATTTGAAGTATTTGATCGATAGAGCATAACTCAATTCTCTATATAAAGATCATCAAATGCTAATCATATCTAGAATCTGATTTACAAATTTAAAAATATTCTGAACTGATTAATTTATTATATATCAATTACTTATAAAAGTTTTAGTTTTTTCTTTAAAAGAAAATGGAGTTTTTTTTTTAAAATTTTAATTGTTTTTATGTTGTAGATTTATTAATATTTGTATTTAATACTTTAATAGAAGTTTTTTTAAAATTTAATCTATATTGTTATATTCAATATTATTGATTTCTATATCTTCTTTAGAATTTTTTCAAAATAACATTTTATAATAATAATGCAAATAAAAAAAAATTGATAATTATTTATCAAATTAATAATTTTATTAAATTATATGTGCTTATGAGAATTTATTTAACTAATTAAATATTATTAATAATTAGATTTAAATATATAATCAAATTTTTTTAAATGTATTTCTTTAAAATCAAATATGTATTAAAAGAAAATATATAATTTAACAACTTTTTAAAATATAAATTTATTATTTAATAAATATATAATTAATTAATTTTATAATGATATAAATCTAAATAATAAAAATTATTAATAATAGAATTTAAAAAATTAAAAAGTTAATATAAAAAGCTCTTAATGTTTTTTTTAATAAGCATTTACAAAAAGAATTTTATAAATTATTTATATTAATATAACATCACATTTTAGAAATCTTATTTTATTTGTAAAAAAAAAAATAAATAATATAGATATATTATCTTTTCACTTTTTTTTTTTTTGGAAATTTATATACAAAAGAAATATTAATTATAAAAATTATTATTACTATTATTACTACAGTTTTCTTTTTAACAAAAAGGAATTAGAGTGAAGGATCTTCATCTCTAATTAAAATATATCTTTCCTTTAAATAATTTTTAACATGTTTAATTGGAATTTCCCGACGATGAAATATTCCAGCAGCAAGAGCAGCTTCTACATTAGTTTTAGCAAAAACTTCAGCAAAATGGTCTTCTTTTCCAGCTCCACTTGACGCAATAACAGGAATCCTCACAGCCTTCTTAACATCATTTATTAACTCTAAATCATAACCAGAATTTGTACCATCTTTATCCATACAATTAAGAAGAATTTCACCAGCACCCATAACTTCACAAGAGGTAACAAGTTGATGAACATCAATATCTCTTCCTTCACGACCACCTTTCACAGTACATTGATACCAACACCAAGGTTCTCCGTTAGGACCAGGATAAGAAGTCTTAATTACATGATGATTTGGTTCATCATCCGGAGAATTTACGTAAATTCTTTTAGGATCTACAGATATTACTACAGCTTGAGAACCATAAGCATGAGCGATAGTTTCAATGGCAGTTCTACCAGATAATATTTTATTATTAGCTAAATAGTTTTCTACTGCATAAACAGCATCACTACCAATTGAAACTTTATCAGCGCCAGATCTGAAATATTCACCAGCAACTTCAAGAGCCGAATGAAATTTGCCATCAGGATCTATAATATCTCTTATACCACCACCAATGGTTAAAGGAACAAAAACTGTTTCTGATGTACGTTTTAAAATTTCCAACATTGGTAAATCAACTAAAGGACAATTGCGAAAACTTGTAATATTTAAAAAGGTAATCTCATCAGCTCCTTCATCAAAATATCTACGAGCTAGATCAACAGGTTTACCAAGATTCCTAACTTGTCCATTAGTGTTATCTGTAGTACGTTCACGTACATCATATTGATCACCTTTAGTCACTACCAAATCACCATGATCATTTGTACGGACATCTAAACATGCTATAATTCTTTTTCTAAATCTGTCTTTTGGTAATATTGTAGGATTTTTCATTATGATCTTTTTATCATCAACAACGACCAAATTATTATTACCACTACTTTCTAAAAATGATTTTAAAATTCTCAAACCGGCATACCCACTTTTTTCGGGATGAAATTGTGTACCAAAAACGTTATCTTTTTGAATTGAACTAATAAAAATTTCATCCCCATATTGAGTAGTAGATAATATCCATTCTTTAATCTTTTGATTATAGGGTACAGCATAGGAGTGAACGAAATAATAAACGCTTCCTGGTTTAATTCCACAATGAATATCTTGTCCTAGTTCATTTTTATATTTAATCTCTTTTATGCAATTTGCTTCATTCCATCCCATATGTGGTACTACTTTATCGTCTTTATTAAATAATTTAACTGTACCAGGAATAATTCCCAATCCTGATATATTCGGATTTTCTTCTGATCCTTCAAACAATGCTTGTAATCCAACACAAATTCCCATAAATTGTTTTCCCGATGCAATAAATTGTTTTAAAGGTTCTGCATAATTTTTCTCTACAAGTAACTGCATTGCACTACCAAATGCTCCTACTCCCGGAAATATTAATTTCTAAAATTATATTGCAAAAAAATATTTAAATTTTCTTTTTTTTTAAAAAATAAAAAAAAAATCGATGAATTGATACTTACTTCAGCTTTTAAAATATCACCAGGTTCTTTAATCCATTCAATCTCATAACCCAACTTATTAACAGCGTTAACTAAACTACGAACATTTCCTGCTCCATAATCCAACAAATATAATCCTCCCATATTCGTATAATTTTCGTATTTTCTTATTCTATTTTTTTTTTTTAAAAAAAAAAAAAGTAAAAATAAAAATAATAAAATTACGGTTTATAAACGTGTTTTTTAATCGTGAATCAATATGAATCAATATTTGTCATCAGAAAACCTTTTAATTTGTATAGATCTTCAATTTCTTGAGGCACAGCCATAAATTAATATAAATTTTATTTGATGATAAATTGAACTACAAAATATTTTTCATCATATTAAGATCGCATAGTAATTTACCCATATATACAACAAATCTCAAAGTTTGTACAAAAAAAAAAAAAAAAATAAAAAACTTTAAAAAACTTTAAAACTTTGATTTATTTTATTTACAGCTCTTTTTTGGCAGCATTTTTTAATCGTCGTGTTGCTGAAGGTGATGATGAGGATGATGTCCATTTCTTTTTTAAAGTGGGAATTCCAAATTGCCAAATAGCATATCCGACCAATGCAGTTATCAGCACTATCCAAAATATAACTACATTTGTTGGCGCAGGGGTTGGAAATTCCCCAATACCAAATTTATAACAAATTACCGATTCCGTCATAAGATTTGCTATAGTTAACCATGCCTGAGGTCCAAATCTTTTGCAATTTCTAGAAAAGAAATAAATAACAAGCTTTAATATGTATTGTTATTATATATATATATATTTTTTTTTTAAAAAAAAAAGATAAGCTGATTCTTTTAATTACTTGTCTGTCAAATATTGATATGCTTCACGTGTACCAGGAATTGAACACATGAAAAGCAACAAAGCTCGATAACTGTTAAGTGGGTGCTCCGGTGGAATCCATAAAAGATATTTCAAATAAAATGAATTTAATTCAGCTTGTAAGAACTAAAAAGAAAGGTTAAAATTAGTCTAAATATAAAGAAATTAAATGCCAATAGAAAACATTTTATAATTTACCAAGAATAAAAGTCCAATAACAGCTAAATAATTTTTAAAACTTTTAGTAGTTCCCCATTCGAATTTAGTCCAATGGTGTGGTGTGAATTGTTGTACTATCCTCTGCACTCTTCCTTTTGATGATCGGATTTGTTTAAAACCTCTCCAAGAATATCCTTTCATCTCAAAATATTCACACGTCTTCATTCCAAAATAAAGACCAATCCAATTACAGATTAACACATCAAGGATCCACTACAATAACAATTTTTTTTTTAAAAAAAAAAGTGTGGAAATTGTTATAAAAATAAAAATTTCATTTTAATAAACTTACGTGATCCCACCAACATTCCGCAAAATTATTTAATTGATGTTGTAATGAATATTCCATAATCTCAAACATGACAGATAATATCCAGCAGAACCAGTAATCACGTAACACTACAGCTTTGGCATACCATCCAGTTGCATGATAAACCACAAAGATATCAATTTGATTCTATTTATAAATAGTAATTTTTTAACAATTTGAAATATATATATATATTGCTGAAGAAATATCATTACTTTAACATTATCGTAAGTCAATTCACAATTATCAGCATATGAACGTTCCGGGAGAGGTCTTCCTAATGTTGGATCAATTGCCCTAAGAAATAAACGTGCATCGAATTTATTCTAATATCATCGAATAAAAGCTTTAATAAACCTGTTAACATCAATTCAAGTATTTAAAGAAATTTAACAAATTGATCTAACCTGAAATAAAAGAAATACAAGAAACATCTGGTATAACACTCCAAGACCCAAAACAATTCGCCAAAAAGCAGGATGTGGTCGGATGAAAGGTCCATCTCTAAACTGTAACATCGCAAATAAAAGAAAAAAACCTACTCCAGCCATGCTTCCGCTGTTAAAAGAACAAATTAATAAAGTGAGAATTAATTAGTTACGAAAATGAATAATATAATGTTGACTTGAAATCGAACTTACAATTTAATATTCGTTGCCGTATTGGATCCTTTATCGTCTTCCTCTCGATATATTGCAACGTATACAAGTCCAATAATCATTGCCGATAATACCGTCAATGTTCTTGGACGATCTATAAAGGTGAACATTTAAAGTAATGATAGGCTATATTTTAAGACGAGTCACAAAACGCGAATACAGTCTACAATCGTATCATTATCTATATAAAGTACAGAATAAATCAATAACGAAAGCATACAAAAGAATTCTGTAGGTGGATCATTGTCTATATATGCAACAGGTTGAACTTGTAATGCTCGTGCATTTAAAGGATCTATAATTGCTTTGTTAGCAGGCTCGGGAGAAGAAGAGCTTGCTGTATACATTTTGCATTGATCGTAATCTGGAAGTTCAAAACAGTCTGTGAAACAATAATTTTAAAAAATTTTCCATTTTTTAATGAGGTCAGTGCGCTCTTTTAATTTTAATTTTAGAAAATCAACCAATGAAAACATGCAATAATATATTCGAAAAAGTTTAAATAAATTAGCCAATTACAGGTTATTTTGAAAGAAGTACCATTTTTATTCAAAACAATAAAGGAATTTGGAATTTTTAGTTTAAAAATTGAAAATTTATTTTCTTCTAAAAAGTGACAACAATAAATGAAACCGGAACAAATATCTTGACAAATAATGTATACAGTTACTAATATTAATCATTGGCTAGTGTCTTTGCCGTCATTCTTCACAACACAACCTTTAACAGTGTTAATTCCTGCTGTTGTTACTGTATTTTGTTTATTTTTAACTTCTTTCTTTCTGAGAAGCTTTAGATATCATAATGCCTCAACAAATAATAGAGAACGTGAGTTATTTCTGTTTTAAATATTTTAATTTTCAAATTCCAATTGAATATTATTTTAAAAAAATTGAAATTTAGTCGATTCACCCATAATTCAAAAAAACACGCAATATATCGTTATCCGAAATAAACGACTTCGAATTGTGCATATTATTCATGAGCTTGGGTCAAAAATTCCTTTAGTTGTATTTATTCATGGACTTGGTGGACAGGTTAGAAAATAAATTTATCATGATTTAGTTATGTTTTTTTTTTAAAAAAAAATAACCAAAATATTATATTTAATTAAAGGTAACACAATGGGAAAATCAAATCGAATATTTTTCATCAACTGCTAATATTCTAGCTGTGGATTTATTAGGTTGCGGAAAGAGTGAAGTGTCATACAGGTAAATTCTCATCATATGCGTATTATTTATTATATATGTAACAAATTTATATAATAAGCCTGAAATCTAATTAGCAATGTATCATTAAAAGATCGAGAGATTATACAACCGAATCCTTGATAGATGATCTTGAAGAACTATTGAAACGGTACCCGAGTGAAAATACTGTATTGATTTGTCATTCATTTGGATGTTGCCTTGGTACAAAATTATATGAACGCATTAAACATACTATTAAAGCCCTTGCATTTATTTCGGTAAAAGCCATTATTTCCGAAAGTGAAAAGAAAAAACAACAAAAAGTACTTTCGTATCCTAACTTTCTAATAAACATTTTCCGATATTTGGATCGCGTTGGCGGCATTCATTCTCAAAGTGTAAATCGGATTTTATATAAATATGCAAATGAAGAGGTTAGAACCAAACAATTAAGGTGGAATAAGCAATCAAAAACGATTGTATGGAAACATATGTTGGCTGGAATGAACTGGTTTACTCAAGCTGATATAAGTTTAATTAAATGTCCGATGTTACTTATTACGGGATCAGAGGTAAATGAAAAATTGGTTTTGAAAATTTTAACTTTTTTATTATAGAAGAATTCATGATAATTTTCTCTACATATCTTAAGGATAAAATTAGTTTGCCAGGTGATATGAATATTATTCAAGAATGGTGCAAGTCATCACCTGAAATTTTCTATATACCAGAATCAGGTCACAATGTAATGGTAGAAAAACCTGATATGGTTAACCTTATCATTAATGATTTTCTTATTAACACATGTGGTTTGGAAACTTTGGATCCTGCATTGCAAATTCTTTTCAAGACTAAAGGAGAAAATAAGTGGTCTATGAAGAATTTTCAAAAGGTTCGCTATTATCGGATAAATGTCTAAACAATTAACCTCGTATACGTAGATTACGCGCAAGTTTATTCTTCCATATAAGGAATCTTTTGGTTTGACGCGTGATTTTTTTTCAGTGTTGAATTTTATTTCTTTTAGACATTTCTGTTTAACTATACCAAGACAAATATGTGATTTATCGCACTCTCATGTGGCACTTTAAAATATTAGTGGAAACGGACTCCGATAATATCAAAACGAACCGTCAATAACTCGAGATTCAGAGCGATGAAGGTTTGTCATCAGATATTTATTTTGATTGTTGCTTGTGACGACGTATTTACGGATGATTTATTATAATTTCATTAAAGGTTATGCGACAGAACGATGAAGAACATTGTCCAAAGTCATTGATTGCCCAACATCCGGAAATAGGATTGTAATATAAATTTTATTATCAATCAATTTTATATAATTAATTTGTTACTTTAATATTATGTATGTTTTCTGTTTGTATATTTTATTAGCATTATTGATATAACAAAGGATCCACCGCCTTATCGAACAAGCGACTTTGATAATTCCCATATTACATATATTAAACTCAGCACTCTTAGTAAGGTACCACCATCACTTGACGACATTCAAAAATTTATCAAAATTGCGAACGAAGCATGGAGCAAAATGCCGGATAAGCAAATTGCAGTGCATTGTCATTATGGGTATTCTACTTTTTATTTATAAAACATTTTCAATTTTTTCTTTAATTATTATTATTGAAATATACCTTCTCTTAGGTTTAATCGAACTGGGTTTATGATTTGTTGTTACTTAATTGAAGAGCTACATCATTCTGTAACTGACGCACTTCGAATTTTCGAAGAAGCAAGGCCACCAGGAATCAGGTATGCTTTTATGTTTGTTCTCATGTATCTATGAAGAATATTAACTAGAAATTATCTCGTTTAAGGCACCGACATTTCAAAGATGAGCTTTATTTACGATACGAAG